TATAGGCCTGATTGAAGCATAAAAGTGAAATAATAATAATGAGAGGCTTTTGTCCGTTGACGGGAGAAGAGAGTTAGCTTTCTGCTGAGTGAGCCCGAACAAGAGCGGATGCACACTAGATCAGAGCAAGTTTAGCTGGCCCAATAGGTGTGATTGTTCCCTTATTCCCAGTGATCAATCAGACAATGTTACAGGATTGAAGTTTTGCGGACATACGAGAATAGGAAATCCCTGCCTTCCAACTTATGTTGCTATAAAAAGACATTTCAATTTATAGGACCTTATTTTAAAAAAGAGATATCAAATAGCAGTTTTATAGTTAATCAGGTTCACATCATTGGGGATCAGATAATCTTGTTGCTCTTTAGTGCTATTGAATTCCATTGTGCAAATGTTAGGTTGATTATTAAGCTTTTGCTGGATATTCAGCTTTATTTTCTATGAGTCTGTTCTTGGGTGAGTTAATATTGTAATTCAACAAAAAAAAAGAAGAAGTAAATATTGTATAGTTGGTGACAGTAATCTTACTATCAGTAGAGTTATATTTAAATTGTGTATGATGATTCTAACTTCTAAGCTACACTTATTCAGGATTCCATAGTGCGAGGAGGCCGAAGATTCCCCTTGTACAGGTAACTGACTAATGTTATGCTGGATGCTAAAACTTTAATAATGCACATAAGAACCTATATAGTGTCTATCTTTGGTTGGGGATAGAAAATTGCGAAAACCCTTCAAGGAAGTGATGAGGACATCCATCTTCCTCTTAACCAAAAATTAAACATAATTACACATCCATCTTCCTCCCAACCAAAAATTACACATTCTTCACCATGAAAGAAAAGAACAAATAGTTGAAGTAAAAAAGAAAACAAGGAGACAATATACTAATTTACTGACATTCAAAAGTTCCAATGAAAAAGTAAATTTAAATAAAGAATAAATTAAAAAGAAGGGAAGGAAATTCAAATGTCATCACTACAGGCATTGATAATTATCATTTCCTTCTTAAAGAAACATTGTGAATACATGTTTTATGCTCTCTAACTCTTGCAGTCGAGTTGTAGAAGCTGCTCCACTTAAAGCTATTGTAGTTCCTGCGATTGGGGAGGATGTACAAGTTCAATTAAGGAACCAAGATCGATCATGGAATGATTTTCTTGCCAGTGTCAGTCACCTTCCCAGGTAATCTGATAATCTTTTTCTCCAAAAGCATTACGATGAATATGTTCTCGAACAAATTACCAAAAAAAAAAAAGAATATGTTCTCTAGCTTATAAATTCCTCTATAGCGTATATACCGTAATGATAGTTTAAAACTGGTGAATCTATCATGGCAATATGTAGCAATTTTAGTTGCAATCCAGGATTATGCTGGATTTGTCTTTTATTCCCAACATCATCACTTTTAGAAGGATGACGAAATTTCTAAATTTACAGAAAATTCATAAAAATGTGCTGCGACCATCGAATAATAACTTTATTTTCCCTTGTTGTAAGAACTCAAGCTTTGATAATATTTTCTTCTTTGGCAGGCCAAATTCTTATTTTCCAGTTCATCAATCGATAGACTCTGTTACCAACATACTATTCTCATCAGGAACCACAGGTAAAATATCCTTGTTGAGACTATGCAGTTTATTTTTGGCTGTGGCATTTGTGCAACTTGTTCATTCTGTCATTCCTTTTGCCTCGGTCAGGAGATCCAAAAGCAATACCTTGGACTCACCTGTCTCCCATTCGATGTGCTGCTGAGTCATGGGCTAATCTTGATGTTCGAGCTGGAGATGTTAGCTGCTGGCCCACAAACTTGGGATGGGTGATGGGACCAATTCTAATCTACAGTTGCTTTCTAACTGGTGCAACTCTAGCTCTCTATCATGGATCCCCTCTAGACCATGGTTTTGGGAAATTTGTGCAGGTAGAAACTTTTTCTTCATATTCCATTAAGGGGTCTGCCAGATTTATACTAAAATCTTTATTTCTTGGTGAATGTTTGTGGCAATTAAATGTCATAGTATATCTCGACAACACATTTTTCTAATGAACCAATTTACTTTGATCACATTGTTTGATATCCTAATTCGCCCGAGCTTGCTTTTCTGTATTTTCTATATTAATTTTCTTCATTCTTTCAACCCTTCATGTGTCAGTAGGATGCTGGAGTTACTATCCTGGGGACTGTTCCAAGCTTAGTGAAGACTTGGAAAAGTACTGGGTGTATTAAAGGCCTAGATTGGACAAGGATACGGTACTTATTGAGTTCAAGTGCTAAATATTATATCAATTCGTCAGTGGGAAAATCTAACATGAAAGCATCTGCAGGATGTTTGCTAGTACTGGAGAAGCCTCTAATGTCGATGATGATCTTTGGCTTTCTTCAAGGGTGGACTATAAACCTGTTATTGAATGCTGCGGAGGCACAGAGCTATCGTCATCTTACATTATGGGAAATCTTCTTCAACCACAAGCTTTTGGAGCATTTAGCTCTGCATCAATGTCCACCGGTTTTGTCATCTTAGACGAAGATGGGCGCCCTTATGTAAGAGAGCTTTACAGCATTTTAAATATCTTCAGCTTGTTGAAAATTCTTGGTCATAATTATTTATCCTTACAATCATTGAAAGAAAAGCCCTGCTGCATGGCTTCAAGGCTTATTCCTGACTGTCTTATTCATAAATGAGACACTCTTTTCCTCCTGTATGATGTCATAAAGCATACATTTTGGCTTTGATAAAGAATGATTTTGAACCTGTTTCCAGCCAGATGATCAAGCTTGTGTTGGTGAAGTAGGCTTGTTTCCAACCTATATGGGAGCAACTGATAGATTGCTGAATGCTGATCATGAGAAAGTGTATTTCGAGGGAATGCCGATGTACAAAGATATGGTATGCATCATATGTCGTAGAAAAGCATTGTTCTCTGTTGGCTTTTCCCTACAACACGTAGCATTGTCCTATTGAACTATGTGAAACCGAATTTGGATGAACTGGAGACTGCTCCTTCTTTACTTCCTAGCTTTAGATATAGAATTTTAAGCTAATAAAGGTTCCTTTCTAGAGAATGAAACGGTTTGATCAACTAGTCATGATTTTACATGACAAACCATTAACTTCCAATTGATAAATTCCTTGTAAAGAGTACCCC